CAACAATGGTGTTGAATGAGTCGAATCAGTCCAGCACCGATTCTTACGCTTCGCCCTTCGGCGATTGCCTTGGAGAGATCCTTTCCGTTTGCCTAGCTGTGAAAGCCGATGTCAGCTGATTGGTTTGGAAACTCTTTCGACCCGAAGAGACGCTGCAAGGGCTTTACTTGTTGCCGATACATTGCAAGGGAGAATCGATTGTCCTACTATCCTCGAAAAAATCGATTTGAATGTACGACCACGTGCACTAAGAAACAGTCTTATGCTGAGACTTCCCTTTCGTCGCACGAACTACGGAATGAATGGAGCAATAAACGGACTGCAGCGAGTTTTCAACAGAGTTGCCTCAGTGTTCGATTTTCACGTACCACGTCAGACGCTTCGCCGTAGTTTCACCTCGATATTTTCGGGCACAGGTAACCGTGAATAGCAGTGTAATGTTTAAGTTTTAAGTACAGACAACCATGTTGTTTTTTTGTATTACTTAACATCATTGGGGCTTATTGAAGGCTGTTGATGGAATCAATTAAATAAATAAATAAATAAGTAATGATAATCACCTCTGAAGTTCCATATCGCCTGAACCACTGATCCTCCACAATTCTACAGACTGCCTTAGCCTCTATCTTCCGTATCGGAATGAGCATTGTCCACTTAGAAAAGATTTCCATCAGGACTAATAAGTGGATGTTCCCATTTTTACTCCGTGGAAGATTTGGGATAAAATCCAAGGGTAGGATCTGGAATGGACGATCTGTCAGCTTTTGTTTTCCCTTCTGGTGATTCGATGTGACTGTTGAGGGTTTGCACTACTTACAAACTTCGCAAGCCTGCACAAATCGTTTGGTCTCTACTGCCATCCTAGGCCAGTAGTACCCAGTTTTAATTTTCTTCAACGTTTTTTCGTACCGCGGATCGAGAGAATCGTTATGTTCTTCTTTTAATACCGATTTCCTCAATCCTTCCCGAGTAGCACACTTTCATCACAATAAGTTACAGCAACTTGTTTATGACTGAAATAAGTCGTATGTATGTTTCTACAATTGATTTGTGACAAGCGTGCTACTAGGGTTCCGGTAGACATAATTTCTATTCGTAGCGGTAGTCCAACACGTCTGCGGCTGCTGCTACAAACTTAAAGAGCTTGTTGTCTACGATTTTGAAGTCAATGAACGACTCTGGATCTTCTTCGACCAATCGTTTTCTGTCGTGCCTTCCATTGCTTCTGCTCGATACAGGGCATCGGCACCTACATTTTCTGATCCCTTGCGATGCTGTTCCTTCATGTCATACTGTTGGAGCAGAATACTCCAACGACTGAGCTTGCTTGACGGCTTCCATTTGGAGTTCATGATGAACGACAGAGCTGACGAATCGGCTATGAGGGTGAACCTCGTTCCCTCAACGTACGGACGAAACTTTTCAATCGATTCTAGAGCTGTGAGCCCTTCTTTCTCAGCAGCTTTCCAGGATCTCGGTGGAGTCGTGAGCTTCCTGGAATAGTATGCTATCACGTGCTCCTTGCCTTCATGTTCCTAGGTCAGGATACCAGCAATAGCCATATCACTGGCATCTGTTTGGATCTTGAACGGTTGATCGAAATTGGGGTTGGCTATAAGGTGCACTGATGAGTTTCTCCTTCAGTAAGTTGAACGCTGCTTCTGCTCCATCGTTCCAAGCTACCACTTTCGCTTTCCTTTTTAGAAGATCCGTAAGTGGCGTGGTAACGTCACTGAAACCTTCGATAAAGCGACGATAGTAATTAACCATCCCCAAGAAACGACGATGGTCGTTCAAAGTTCACAATTGCTTCCACTTTCTTCAGTTCCAGTTCCCCGAATTCTAACACTTGGTCCATCAATCTAGACAAAGTCGTGGGACTATTAACCAAACCGAAGGGTAAACGGGTGAACTGGAACAAACCACGTCCAAATACCCGAATGGCAGTGTATTTTCGGGAGTCGCGGTTTAATGATACCTGCCAAAATTCCTTTGAATGGTCTATCGTAGACAGGTATTTTGAAGACCCCAATCTTCTTAAGATTATGTCTTGATGAGGTAGCGGGTACGCATCTCTCCTGGTTCGTTCATTCAGCTTCCGTTCGTCCAAACATATTCTGACCTTGATCTTTTCTTCTCCGTACTCTCCAACAGTTTTCTTTACGATTGGGACAATCAGCATTGCTCATTCGCTGTTTGATCTTTCCACCACACCAGATTCAATCCACTTTTCGAGTTCACGTAGTTTTGAACCTCGGGCGACCAGGGATACTGATTCAGTCGTACTGGTTTTGCATCCATGAACTCGTCAATGAATTCTATTGTGTGGGAGATCAGAGAAGTGACACCTAAATTGTCTCCTTCGTTGAACACCTTAAACTTGCTCTTAACCTCTTCCAATCGCTCCTGCTGCTCTGTGGTTAGACTACTGCCTTCCTGCGGCTCTTCAAAATTCGCATCCATCGCGTCTGCTACTTCTCCTAACTGTCGTTGAATCGTGGGTTCTATATTGAAAATCTGCCAGAAGTTCATTCCTAAAATTAGTCGACACTTCATCGAAGGTACGACCAACGTGGTGACGATCTTCGTTTGCCCGTTGAACGTAATCGGAAGGTTAACGTACCCCAAAACTTCCAATTGGAAACCTCCTGCTGTCGAAAGCTTGGTCTTTGTTGGCAACAGTTTCAATCTTAATTTGCATTCCACTGTCTAGCAATCCAACCAGTTCAACCCCTATATCGTCTACAGTAGCAAACGGCCTGTTTTCAGTCTTCACGCCTCACTTCAGCTCGCTGACTTCTGACCCAAACGGAACAAATACAGTTGAAGGTTTTTTAATTGACATTCGACGACCTTCTACGCCGAAGTCCGTCCGGTTTTTGCGCAAAATGGACACTTCTCTCTGGTGAAGTCGTGGAATCCACAAACCGTGCAAAATACAGCTTTTTCCATCAAACATGCACTAAAATGATAGTATTTTCCACGACAATTGAAACATACGATTTTATCGAGAACTCTGTAATTTGCAACTCTGCTCTCTAAATCTCCTCTGCTGGATCCTTGCCTAGCCTCATTTCTCGCGATCTCCTGCTTCTTTGGAACGTACTGCCTGGGCATTGCCGTATCCTGTTTCCTATCCGGTCTACCACTTTTACCTGTAGGTGGGGTAGGTTTCCACCCTCTCTCAACCGGTTTCGTATCTCTCCTGGGGAATTCTCAACTAACTTCATGGACCTGTGAAGTCTTTGCAGCCACCTCAGTGTCCTTATTGCGATACATCCAAACATTAGTTGAGTCGAGTTTCCTTCCCCACTGTTTCAGGGCTTTTAACGATCTGATTCCTTTTACTACCAGCACGTTCTTGTAGTCGGACCTTAAGTTTCTAAAGATGATTTCGAACATTCTCTGTTCGCTCGGAGGGACAGCCATAAACCAAAAGATTTCCATCACCGCGTTTAAGTAGTCCTGGAAATTCTCAGACCGTTTCTGCCTACGTTGAACCGCTTGCTGCTCGTAGTGAAAATCCATATCGGGTGGTTGGAATTCCAACTTAAGCTCAGCGACCAACTGCCGCCAATTCCGAAAATCTCGATTTTTCCTTCCTTCCATATACCACGTTCGAGATTCGCCACTGAAAAGGTGAATCACCTCGTTGAACAGGTCACGCTTCTCTACGTTGACTGCTTCCGCCATGAACTCTACTTCCGCTATGAACTTATTCAACTTTTTACCTTCATCCTTTCCGTCGTACTTCATCTTCCACTCGGCTACTGGACGTGGTCTCCTTTTCATACCTTTTGGCCTGTCACTTTCCTCCTCTGAGTTACTTTCTTCGCTACTCGTCTCACTTTCGCTTTCACTAACGTTTTAGTTCTTACTTTTGCTTTTGTCTTTCTGTTTTTCAGTTTTACGAGGATTTTTCTTCTTCTCTTTCTTGGTTTCTTTTGTTTTGTCCTAACATCATTTCATCTTCACTACCTTTTCCGCTACTTATAGTACTTAGCTTTGACTCCAAGTAACTGTCCACGTGCTCTAACAGCTTTTTAAACATGTGAGTGTTCACGTTTCAGTGTCGAGTAATTTTTAGAATATCGTGTAGAGTACTCGTTATTATGTTGAAAAATCATGGCAAGTAATGTTCGTGTATGTGTACAGTTTTTCTCCGTCAGTAAATCTCCCTGGTAGGCCAGAGTAGAGTAGCCTACAGTATTACGCAGCCATCCACCCACCGTAGTCTACAAAACCCACCACCAGATGGAGTAAAAGCAGCATTTAGGCGGCCATGAGAGGTGACGACAAAAAAGGCCATTACAAACGGCATAACGGACACGATGACTGGCGATGAAAAACGAATGGCCTGGGTCACTGACCAATAGTCAAAGGACAGTGACCCAAAGAACGTATTTCTAGGCTACATACACCGATCAGGTCTATCATCAAATAACCATCAAGGTAAACGGCCGATAGTCTCTGGTGAAATATAAGAAACATTACTGTGACAGAATATAGTGGAAGATAGTAAGAGGAAAGTGGAAAAGGGTGAGAGGAAAAAACGGACAGCAGGACCCCGCTGTAAATTTTAAACAGAACCGCTGAGATACACCTGGTAGACGTACCGGTAGGCTACGCCAGTCCCCAGCCAAGTAAGAACAATTCCGGCACGAACCGCCGAAGCCGAGTCCGTCAACACACTCGGTGGCCCAGCCAGCATAAAAAGTGGAATAGCGCGCGAAGGAGATTTCCAACGCCGCCGAAGGAGAGAAGGAAGAAGGTGGAACGTGGAGCCGAGTGAAGCAGTCGTCGAGGAAACGTGGTGGTGGATCTGCAAGGGGCCCCGAAGAAGAAGGGAAAGACAACAGAAACAGGTCAGATAGGAATTAAGAAAGTGGGAGAGTTACATACGTAGGGAGGAATAGATGTGTTAGTATAATCCAACAATAAAAAGTGGTTATTTTGAATATTGAAGTGCTGTAGGAGTTTTTGCTGTATCCAGTGCGATCATTCCTTGCCACGTGGAACCTAGTTCGGTAAGCGTGCCGACCCTGAGGCCATTGTAGTCAGGGATTCTCAGGATCGCTCCCAACTGAGGTAGTAAGCACTTACACTTTGGCGCCCAACTTAAAATTGCCTTATCGGCAGCTGTTTTAAACATCCAGCTTGGGAGATCGCACATGAGATAGCTGGTTTCTACAGAAGTCTCTGGGAAAAAATCCAGGCCTTCACAAGACAATTACCACAGTTGGAATTATAACTTGACCTGACACAGTTTATAAAATATTTTATTTGCAGCGGAGGGGTTCTGATTGTTCATAAAACCGTAACAAATAACGATTGTTTGAAAAGCGAGTCAATTGATTTTGTTAGAACGGAGCGAAGTGTTTTATCGTTTGAGTGTGTTTCGGAGGAAGTTGTTAAAACACCAGAGAAAAAGATTGATTTATTTTCAAGCCTTAAACTAGAATTTTCAATTATTAAAATTTTAAAGTTAAGTTTTAGCATACACGATTGCTTGAAGCGTAAATAGGTAGTTCTTTTTAAATTTTAATTTTTATAATTTTGCTAAAATTGTACGCAAACGTTGAACGATGGAGCAAGCTCACTTGCAGGCGCAATATTACGCGTTGAATGCTGCACATCTGGCCGACGATGAATTAGACCATGAATTAGAAATCCGTGAAGTAAAAATGAATGGCGAATCTCGTAGTAAACAGGAAAGAGCATTGCGTAGTCTGTTGAAGGCTGAAAGAGAGAAAACAAATGTTAATTACAAAGCAAATTGGATTGCATTACTAGATGAATTGAAATGGTGTGATGAAAAGCTTTTGGAAGTGACAACAGAGTTAGAAGGTAGAAAAACCCGAAAGGCACCAGATCAAAAATTTAAATCCAAACTTCTCCACATTTTCTTTAGGATGCAACGACTTACGGCTCATAGCAAAGAAGAAGAAGATTTGAACTGTATCGCAATCATAGCAGGAGAGTGTGTACGGTTGCTGAACATGTATTTTTCAATAACATCGCCATTTCCAGAAGTAAGGGAAGTAGAAATTAGTATAATGCATGAAAGCTTACGACAGACACACATAGAAACAAATGAGGTAAACGTTAACGATAGGAGAGTAGTGGTCAATCCAACAGTCGTAGAAGATGAGTATGAGAGTGAGCATAGAAGAGAAAGGTCTACAGGAGAGATCACTGAGCATATTTCTGATGATGATGAAGGTGCAGTAAGAGATGCGGTTATAGAAAATGAGAACATCAGAGATAGGGCAGTAAACGATCTCTCAGATGAGAATGAACGTTTGAAAGTAGTGGTGAATCAGTTGTTGAGACGTATTCAGGCGCTTGAGACTTCGAATACAGCCAGGCAGTGTGAAATAGAAAGAGAGCAAATGAAACATAAAAGCAGCACACCGATAGATGAGAGATCAGTCCAAAATGAGAATGAAGCACGTCAGAATAAAAATAAGCAGAATTTTTATGAATGGATTAAGCAGAGATATAGTTCAATGGAAAGCATAAGTGAAGATAACAGGAAGGTTCAGTCGTCGAACCAGGACAAAACAAATAAGAAACAAGTGGTAGAGGTAGATAAGCCGAAAAGTAACCGATTGCCGGTGTACAAATGGTCGGTTAGATACGATGGATTGGATAATGGCAGGAGGTTAAACGAATTTCTCAAGGAAGTAGAATTCAATGCAAGGTCGGAAGGGTTCACTGAAGCAGAATTATTCGTGTCTGCGCATCATCTCTTTACGCGAAAAGCGAGAGCATGGTTTATGGAAGTCAATGGAAATAGCGAGCTAGAAACGTGGGAGAATTTAACCAGGGAACTAAAAAGTGAGTTCTTACCTGAGGACATTGACTACCAGTACGAACGTCTGGCTGGTTCACGGAGACAGGGTCCGAGGGAGAAATTCCAAGATTACTATCTGGATATGGTGAAAATTTTCCGGAGTATGTCCAAACAGTGGGATGATATCAGAAAATTTGACGTCTTGTTTCGGAACACCAGGTCAGATTGCAGAACTGCGATGTTAGCTGCCAACGTGACTTCCATACCTAAAATGAGGGAATTCGGTAAAAGGTTTGATTCTATCAATTGGCAAGTGTATGTTAGGAAAGAGAACAGATTTAGTAGACCGAATCCCCAAATTGAAGAAATCCAGCAGCAACGACAGAATAATAGTCGCTACGGAACAAACAACAGATTTCAAACAGAACAAAAAGGAGGGTATCAAGGACGAAATTTTAATCCAAATTACAAACCAGGTGACAAGCAAGTTCCACCTGGGGAAAATGGAATTCAGGGTGGAAATAATCATCGAAAATTTCCCCAAAAACAGATGAGCCAGGATGGCAAACAAAACCAGAATTACAAACAGTTTAACCCAAAACCTGGTCCTAGTGGTACAAGTGCACTTCAAAGGATCGTGAAAGCTTACATTCCCATTAAGCGAGGAGTTTGCTTTAACTGTCACGAGGAGGGACACAGGTCAATGGATTGTCGACAGGAAAAGCATGAATTTTGTGAGGATTGTGGGTTTCCTGGGTTTCTCACAAACAATTGCCCATTCTGCCAGTCAAAAAACGTGAAAAAGACTGCTCAGTGAGGCAGAGCAGTCAAATCGACGCCGAAAGTCCTCAGCAGGAATATTCAGAAAATCCAGCAACCGTTCTTCAACAGTTAGGTTACTCGAAGGTGGAGGATCGTTTCAAAAAGCAGGACGAGATTGCAACATTGCTCGTCAAGCTTAGTGGAGATGCCAGGCCGTTTACGAGAATTGAACTAATGGGGATTGAATTGATTGGGCTTCTGGATAGTGGAGCTGCACGGACGGTTTTAGGGATCGGAGCGGGGAAAGTGATCAAACAGTTAAATTTAAAATTAGAACCAACTTTGATAAATTTAAAAACAGCTGGCGGGGAAGATTTGGAAGTTCTTGGATGTGTAGATATTCCGATCACGTTCAATGGAACTACAAAAATTTTGCCCGTATTAGTCGCCCCGAAACTAAAACGAAGGTGTGTACTAGGGTATGATTTCTGGCTTAAATTTGGAATCAAGCCAGCCATACTGAATAATCCAGTAGAGGAATTGGATGATGGAGCTAGTGACAACTTGGAGAAGGAAGAAGAACTAACAGATAACCAAAAAGAACGTTTGGAAAGAGTAAAGAGGAAATTTATAGCTGCACAACCAGGAAAATTCGGGATGACAGATTTAATCATCCATTCTATCGAGATAAAGGAGGAGTTCAAAAAATCGGATCCGGTGAGGAAAAATCCGTATCCGTGGAGTCCTGAAATTCAACGAAAAATTCACACAGCGGTAGACAACATGATTCGCGATGGGATCGTTGAGCAGTCTAATTCAGACTGGGCTCTCCCAGTAGTACCAGTTGCGAAGCGGGATAGTCAGGAGGTAAGGCTGTGCTTGGATGCCAGAAAATTGAACGAGAGGACTAAGAGGGACGCTTACCCATTGCCACACCAAAATAGGATCTTGAGTCATTTAGGACCAGTGAAATATCTGACGACCATCGATTTGTCCCAAGCTTTTCTTCAAATCCCGTTGAGCCCAGACTCCAGGAAGTACACCGCTTTTTCGATCCCAGGTAGAGGACTGTTTCAATTCACACGGCTTCCGTTTGGGTTGGTAAACAGTCCAGCTACACTTAGCAAGTTGATGGATCGTGTACTGAGTCATGGAGCGTTAGAACCAGCAATATTTGTCTATCTAGACGATATTGTTATTGCTAGCCAGACATTTGAAGAACATCTTCAAAAGCTTGATGATCTAGCGAAGCGTTTGAGGGAAGCAAATTTATGCATCAATTTGAGCAAGTCGAAATTTTGCTGCCAAGAATTGCCGTATCTTGGGTACATTTTGTCCCAGGATGGATTACGGCCTAATCCAGATCGCGTACAAGCGATCCTTGGATATCAGGTTCCGAAATCGGTTAGACAACTTCGTCGATTCCTCGGTATGATTAATTATTACCGTAGGTTCATCGCAAAATATAGTGACATTACGGCACCTCTCACTGATTTATTGAAAAATAAGCCAAAGAGGGTGCAATGGAACTCAGCAGCCGACAATGCTTTTCAGGTCATCAAGGAGAAACTCATCTCTGCTCCTGTGATGGCCAACCCAAATTTCATGCTCCCTTTCACAGTCCAAACGGACGCAAGTGACAACGCTATCGCAGGTATTTTGACGCAGGTACATGATGGAGAAGAAAAGGTTATAGCTTACCACTCGGAAAAGCTCAAAGGTGCTGAGCTAAACTACCATGCGGCTGAGAAAGAAGGTCTCGCTGCACTCCGTTGCATTGAGAAATTTAGAGGCTATATAGAGGGGACGAAGTTCACTTTAATAACTGATTCCTCTGCCCTGACTTTCATAATGCGAGCGAAATGGCGATCTTCATCTCGGCTTAGTCGCTGGAGTATTGAACTACAGCAGTACGACATGGATGTGCGTCATCGCAAGGGAAAAGAGAATGTAGTTGCCGATGCACTCTCTCGATCGATGGAGTCTCTCGAGGAAGAGCCCGAAGACGGGTGGTACAAAAAGCTATTTGCAGGTGTGAAAGCAGACCCGGAAAAGTACTTGGACTTTAAAGTCATAGACGGAGTACTCTACAAATTCGTAGCAACCAGGTCCGATCTGATGGACTACCATTTCGAATGGAAACGATGTGTTCCAACTTCAATGCGGAACCAGGTCATTAAGCAGGAACACGACAATAATCTCCACATTGGGTATTTAAAATGTGTTGAGAAAGTCAAACGCCGGTATTATTGGCCACGCATGACCACGGATATAAAAAAATACATTGTGAATTGCGTACCATGCAAAGAAAACAAACATTCGACCATATCAACAGCACCAGAAATGGGAAAACAGAGGATTACAAACCGACCATTCCAAATAATTTGTATGGATTTCATCCAATCCCTTCCGAGAAGCAAGCAGGGCAACGCTCACTTATTAGTGGTCATGGACCTGTTTTCTAAGTATTGCCTGCTTGCTCCTGTAAAGAAGATCTCTGCAGTATCTCTCAACAAAATTTTGGAAGAGCAGTGGTTCAGACGACTCTCTGTCCCACAAATCGTCATCACAGACAACGCGACAACATTCTTGTCGAAAGACTTTCAAAATTTACTCGAAAAGTACGAGATACAGCATTGGGCAAATGCTCGGCATAGAAGCCAAGCAAACCCAACAGAACGTGTCAATAGGACAATCAATTCCATGATTCGTTCATATGTGAAGCAAGACCAAAAGCTATGGGACACGAAAATAACGGAGACTGAGTACGTTCTCAATAATACGGTTCATTCAACGACTAAATTCAGTCCACATTGTGTGATCTTCGGTCATGAGATAATTGACAAAGGGTCAGAGCATAAAAAAGAGCAGAGCGAGGAACATACTGAGGAGCAGAGAGTAGAAAAGCTGAGAGGGGTAACAAAGAAGATCGGAGAGTTGGTTAAAGAACACCTCCAAAAGGCTCACGAGGACACCAAGAGACGATACGATCTGCGACATAAGCGTTACTCACCGACGTTTAATGTGGGTCAACAGATCTATAAGCGTAGCTTTCGTCTGTCGTCTGCTGGGAACCAGTTTAACGCAAAGCTGCTACCACAATATGTTCCGTGTATCATCATGAGGAAGGTCGGCACCAGTTCATATGAGGTGTCGGACATGAAAGGGAAGGCGTTAGGCATATTTTCCGCTGCCGATTTAAAAGCATAAACGCTAAAAATAAAAATAAATAATATGTAAGAGCTCAAATCATCACATCATTTCAAAATGCAATACTTAAGTAGGATATTAGTTTGGATTAGAAGAGTTATTTTCGCAGAAAAAAGTCCTTATGAAGATACTTATCGTTCCAAATCTAGTCATTCCGATGTATGCATTTTCCCGGGAAAACCAATGCGCAGGTGTGACATTCAGGTTTGTAAAAATTTGTAAATATTCGGCCGAATAATCATTAAGTTCTGCATGTTTACCTAAAAAAATTAAAAATTAGCGTTTTATATTTGTAGTTTTAATGATTTTGTTTTAAGGTGTTTCATTGAATAAGTTTTGTTGTCTGTGTAGGAGTAATCATGCTTAAATTGCATCGTTTGTTTTCATTCGGTTTTCTTGTCGTGTATGCAAAGTTGGTAATAAGTTATAACATCCAATACAGTCAAGCTGAGAGATATATTACGGAGGTGTATGTGTGTAGATATATCGTGCGAGTATTTTTGTTAGACTCAAGTTCAAAGTCATGATCATCATCAACAATAGCCCGAAATGATCGCATCTACGTTACAAACATTATTCACTTTTGCGATACTCAATATAGGAAACAATAGCATTGTTCCGTAGCCTGCAATACGACCATACTCACCACTCTATAGCATTTACTTGGAACATAAGAAGAGAAGGATGAGCTACTAACAAGGAATTCACAAAAGGGAAATTTACGTAAATCAAATAAATAATTATTGATCAAAAGGCCTAAAGAAACCGCGAATTTAAACACGATATTTAGATTAAACGTTGTGTACACACTCTTCAGAATTCCTTATTACCACCTCATCACTACTTAACACATGTGATCTCTAGCTCGTCAGCATCACTATTGACAGCACTTTTATATTTTTCCGATCTCGACCGAATATACGCACACTGATAAAACACTGATAACGCTATCTCAGAGAACTTAATGCAGCGCAACTCCGACAAATTGCGTGAAATGTTTCATGCACCATTCGCATGACTCAATTGGTGTACATAAATGCTCCATAGTAAAAAAGAAATAAATAAATAATAATAATTAATTTGGTTTGTAATGAAAATAGATAGTAAATTTAGTAATGCATGCAGTAGATATTAATAAAGTTATAAATTTTAACATTAAATGTCTTTTTAAACAATCGGTGAAACCTTTGCTAATTTTTTTTCGAGGTTACCAGGTCTAAAAACCTGAGTATTTGATCGCTGGAGACCGGAGTCAAATGACACTGATGGTTAGTATGGACATTATGTCATTAAACTGTGAGGAGTTGATTCAGTTCAACGATGAAAACTTATGACCCCGATACTCGATGAAAATAATAGCAACCTTCACATACTCTTTACTGTTTTATGGCCTGTCTCAATCTTATACGTTACAAGTGAAATGTTTCGTGAACTACAGTCAGTGATAGTGATTTTGTCCTGGTGAGAATTTTCTTATGTTGTGCAGGTTCAGAGGTACGTGTAACCGGGGAAGTATTGTGTGATTTTAAACAAAAATATTTACTTTGTAAATATTTTTACCCGAGCTGGGGGAGAGTGTGAGTGTTCACGTTTCAGTGTCGAGTAATTTTTAGAATATCGTGTAGAGTACTCGTTATTATGTTGAAAAATCATGGCAAGTAATGTTCGTGTATGTGTACAGTTTTTCTCCGTCAGTAAATCTCCCTGGTAGGCCAGAGTAGAGTAGCCTACAGTATTACGCAGCCATCCACCCACCGTAGTCTACAAAACCCACCACCAGATGGAGTAAAAGCAGCATTTAGGCGGCCATGAGAGGTGACGACAAAAAAGGCCATTACAAACGGCATAACGGACACGATGACTGGCGATGAAAAACGAATGGCCTGGGTCACTGACCAATAGTCAAAGGACAGTGACCCAAAGAACGTATTTCTAGGCTACATACACCGATCAGGTCTATCATCAAATAACCATCAAGGTAAACGGCCGATAGTCTCTGGTGAAATATAAGAAACATTACTGTGACAGAATATAGTGGAAGATAGTAAGAGGAAAGTGGAAAAGGGTGAGAGGAAAAAACGGACAGCAGGACCCCGCTGTAAATTTTAAACAGAACCGCTGAGATACACCTGGTAGACGTACCGGTAGGCTACGCCAGTCCCCAGCCAAGTAAGAACAATTCCGGCACGAACCGCCGAAGCCGAGTCCGTCAACACACTCGGTGGCCCAGCCAGCATAAAAAGTGGAATAGCGCGCGAAGGAGATTTCCAACGCCGCCGAAGGAGAGAAGGAAGAAGGTGGAACGTGGAGCCGAGTGAAGCAGTCGTCGAGGAAACGTGGTGGTGGATCTGCAAGGGGCCCCGAAGAAGAAGGGAAAGACAACAGAAACAGGTCAGATAGGAATTAAGAAAGTGGGAGAGTTACATACGTAGGGAGGAATAGATGTGTTAGTATAATCCAACAATAAAAAGTGGTTATTTTGAATATTGAAGTGCTGTAGGAGTTTTTGCTGTATCCAGTGCGATCATTTCTTGCCACGTGGAACCTAGTTCGGTAAGCGTGCCGACCCTGAGGCCATTGTAGTCAGGGATTCTCAGGATCGCTCCCAACTGAGGTAGTAAGCACTTACAAACATGTCTTCTCCTGTCTTACTCTTCTTTTTCGGTTTGAGTGTACTAGTCTTCCTACTTATTTCTTCTGAACTTTCTCTTCTATTGTCCTCCTTATCCGTATTTTCACCATCGGATTGATTTCCTCCTTCCGACTTTGATTTATTTGGTTCTGTGCTATTTTTCTCCTCTTCTCCTTCTTCTTGTTATTCTTCTTGTACACTCAAACTAGTCAAATCATTTCTAACTCTTTCTACTGTGATTTTCCTAACTTCTGGGTCAGATGACAGGAACGTGAAATGCTCCTGGTACATTTTCAATGCTATTTCTTCCAGACCATCGATATCTCCTTTCTCTTTCAACCTGATTATCCTGAAATACAGGTGAACTAGCCTAGTCTTCAACTCAGGCAGTTCAGACTTTTTCGTCCTTCTATTTTCTAACTGATCGCGAATCTTGGCCAACTTTTTATCCAACAGGTGAAAATCTCTTTCCCCCTGCTCTGGCGACTCTAACGGAAAAACCTCAAATTCTTTTCTTCTCGCTGTTCTTTTAGCTTGGCTCTGAGCCTACGCATCTTCACATCACGAGAATCACCAACCCGTCGGATGGCAAGTTCGTACTCAACCTCGTCTACGAGCAAATGGCCTGCATTCAATTTTGGTTGGTGCAAAATCGTGTAAAGATCATACACAACTTAAGACGCCTGTTAAAAATCGTTAGATTTTTTAAATACTAATCGATCCTCGGATTACTTTCGCGTGTTGTGGTTGGGTGTCAAGTGTAACTATTCGTTTTCCCGGAAAATTCAGTAGCAAGAAACTCCTTGAGCTGGGTCTCAGGATCGGCTAGATACTTGGTAATCACGAGGAACTTCGCGGACAAAATGTGCAGCGTACGGTCACCTGGCTAAAGATTTACTTTGACTTTGAGGGTTTTTATTTAACAAATTGGTGTGTTGGTGGGATTGGGTTGGATTTCTGTAGTCTATTCTTCTGTTTGTGGGTGTGGGTAAAATTAACTGTGTTCTTCGGTACGTACGACGGCTTATTCTGACGATATGCTGCTAATAATATACCCCACCTCACTCATATCAATAGTTTTAAACTGAAATAACTTCGGAGTTTCTTATCTTATCGATTTGGTATGTTTAGGATTAATTATTCAAAAACATTTGCTCAAACTCATAAGCGTTGTTAGATTGTGGTGAGGGGGGGGGGGGGGGGGGGGTAGGGCTTACTATATGCAGTTTTTAATATGAAAATTGTTGTAGTGTAAATATATATGTAGGTAGGGCTTACTATATGCAGTTTTTAAAATGAAAATTGTTGTAGTGTAAATATTTAATATCCACTTGTCTGTATTGGAAAGTACACCACATGCCGTCTACATCAGTGCGTCCCTCGCACAACGACAACGTAGAGAGCAAACAAATTATGTTCTTTTTAAAAACGTATGATGCAACCAGAAGTTTATTTTCCGTCATTCTTCTAATAATTAATAAAGAAATAAAAACGTTGCTCGATAAATCTCGCCTTTAATAGTTGTTCAATATCCGATATTTCCCAACAGGTTATGGGCCCAGCGCCGCATGTGCGCGTAGTTTGCAAATTGTGAAAAATTCCTTTCGGAAATCGCATGTAAAGTATGTTTTTTTTTTCTCCGATAAAAACATTTTCACTTGTGAAGAATTTTTTTTTCTCGCTACTCATTCTGGATAGTACCATAGCAACATGGCAACGAACGCGAGCTTGGCCGTAGATAAATTGAATGATTTCAACTACGAGCGCTGGAAATTTCGTATGGAGCTGGTGCTTTTGAAAGAGGGAGTGAGAAACGTTGTCGATGAGGAGAAGCCGGAAGTCCCTAACTCGTCCTGGATTTATAGAGATGGCAAGGCTCGGGCTCTGATCGGTCTCTCAATTGATGATGGCCAAACATGCCACGTCATGCATGCTGCCACAGCTCGCGAAATGTGGTTGTCACTGAAGAACTACCATGCCCGGTCATCGCTTGCCACGAAAATACATGTTTTGCGGAAGCTCTTCCGAATGTACTTACCGGAAGATGGAAATATGGCCGATCATTTGGCGCAAATCACGGAACTGGCCAACCGGCTGTCAAACATGGGAGATCCGCTGAAATATTACTGGTTAGTTGCCATCATCCTGTCAAGTCTGAACGAGTCCTATGACAGTCTGATCACGGCTTTGGAAAGTCGTCCCGAAGCTGATCTGCAGTTGGAATTCGTGAAGGGGAAGTTGCTCGATGAGTGGAGGAAGCGTCTAAAAGTCCGGTGGAAGTGCTAGCGGCAGTAATGAAAAAGTGGTGAAAACGGAAGTGAACCAAAAGAAGCAAGAGAAGAAGAAAGAAAAAGTTTGCCATTATTGTGGTAAAGATGGACATTTTCGACGGGACTGCCGGAAGCTGGAGTACGACAGGAAGAACAAAGAAAAAGAAAGTGCCAACAATCAGAAGGTGAACATAGTGGTCGAAAATGAAGAAGCTGACGAGGTGTGTCTGGTTGCTGGACTGCTCGGTGGTGATTCGGGTGATGTTGTGTGGTGTCTAGACTCGGGAGCCACATCGCATATGACCAGTGATGCATCGCTTCTGGAAAACGTTACGAAGGTGAGTTCGACCATTGGCCTTGCTGATAGTAACAAGATCGCTGCGGCAGGGGTTGGTTCCAGCAGATTCCGTTCGCTGGATGGCAATGGTAAGAAGGTACCTGTGACTATCAAGCAAGTTTACCATGTTCCTGCGTTGGCTGGGAATCTACTGTCGGTAAGTAGATTGACCGATGAAGGATGTTCCGTATTGTTCAACAAAACCAGTTGTGAGATCCAGAAGAATGGGAAAGTTCTGCTTCGTGCTGAAAGAAGAGGCAATCTGTATCAGCTGAAAATCTATGTTCAGAAGGCATTAAAAACGATGGCAGGCCACAACTAGAATTGTATTCATGTGTGGCATCGTCGTCTTGGCCATCGCGATAAGCAAGTGATTGAGAAGATCGTTCGAGAGGGTCTCGGAAATGGCCTAAATTTGCAGGAGTGTGATGTTAAAGCTGATTGCGGAGTGTGCTATGAAAGAAAAATGTGTCGTGCACCGTTTCCAAACAAGTCCGTGTCCTCTTCTAGCGCTGTAGGAGATCTTGTCCATACTGACTTGTGCGGACCGTTGAAGGTTGCGACACCTCGAGGAAATCGTTTCCTGATGAC